AAGGACCAGTACTACTATAACTAGCTAATCGGTAGGGGAATAATCCATATAGATCATATATATAGCTTCTAGCTATAGCTAGCTCTTGCTAGTTTTACAATTTGTTGTGTTATAAAAAAAGTGGCCCTGCATGCCTGCTTAATTGTAGCTAGCTAGTGTGTATACATATATATTTTTTAATTTATGCACATATATATTAATGGAGTACCCCATTATTAAAATGGCGCCTATTTTTCTCATGGGAATGAAATAAGTAAGTTTAACTTACAACCGAAAATTTATACTTATTCAAGTCGGAGAAAACAAAACATGTAATCTAACCAGGGACATAATAAAAATAACCAAATCAAAAGAGTTTATAATTAGTACGTACTAAAGTTGTACTAGCTAGCTAGCTACTCTCTCCGTTTCACAAAGTAAGTCATTCTAGTATTTTCTACATTCATATTAATATTAATGAATCTAGATATATATATTTATTTAGATTCATTAACATTAATATAAATATAGAAAATGGTAGAATGTCTTACATTACGAAACGGAGGAAGTAGCTTTTTCCTCAGTTGCACAAGTGAACACAGTGAGAGCAACCATGCATGCATGCATGAATTAACTTTTAGTGTTTCTTCAATCGAAAGAGACGAAGCAACACATGCAAATGCATGGGGACCCCGGCCGGCCTCTTCAGGCACTTGCTTAATTAGTAAGCTTCTTTTTATCAGTGATTGCAGTGCTTTTCATAAGCTAGCACCTGTATTTTTCATCCAAGATCAAATAACTCTATGATTGTTTTTTAATCTTTTGTGTACCATAAGCTAGCTCGTGTATTTTTCATATATTGACATGATATAAATTCCTGCATGACCTTGTTTACAGTTTTTCGAAAAAAAAAGGATAGGGAAAAAAAGCAGGAAGGAAATATTCCAGATGCAAGTTAAGCTTGGACTATAGGAACAATTTTGGAATGACAGGCTGTTGTGTCCAATACTGAAATTGATGATTTTCCATTATTAAAAAATAATGCTTAATTAGGCAGCATTGCATCATCTCCATGCTGCCCCTCTTCTTCGAGGGCACAATCGCCTAAATTGTGGGTTTCCTGCAAAACAGGAAATTGTTTCCGGTGAAATGATCCCTTCATTATATCTCCTTTTCAACTGCCTTACTATAGCCCATGCAATTCATAAATATATTTCATTATATGCTTACTGTCAAAACATATATTGTCATATCAATTATATAATTTGAATTACAACACAAAATAACAACGTAGCTTTAGCACATGCAAATTACTAGTTAGCCAAGCCCCTATGTGCTCTGAGTAGGAGGTCGCTACGTAACAATTTTCTATATATTTATTGACAAATTTTCTCACAAAAATTTATCAAATGTAAATATAATTATAGTGTAATTATATTATAATTTACATATTACTTTAATGTACGTAACATGTATATAACTTTCACATAATTTTGAATTTAGATTTTTTTTTCAAGATTCATGCAAGTGAAATATGAATAGGAGAAAGAAACAACATGAAAAATCAAAGGTCAAAAATACCACTGGCCCCACTTGTCATATTAGTCCTCTTCTTCCTGCCCATTCACTGCATGCTTCCGACAGACCCCTCTTCACTGCGTCAGTCAGAGCTGCCGACCTTGGTAGCACGGCATCGTCTTCCTCCGCCTCCATCACCCGCATGGCGCCTCGGCTACGTACACCCAGCAATCCTTCGCGCCGTTGCTTCTCTGGATCAAGGACGACACCGTCTTCTCCGCTGTACGTCCTCCTCAGTTCCTCTTCTGGCCGATGCCTTCTCCTGAAACCGCACCATCGGTCGGCTCAGCCTAGGCTTCCACGCGGACCCTATTGACCACCCCGCCGGCTCCCTAAGAGAACAGGCCTGCTCGACACACCGCTCTACCCCGACTCATCCGCGACACTCCACCTCGCCGACCGGTGCCACCCTTGCCTCCTCTCCAGGCCGCATTGGATCCTCCTTGATGCCAGTCCTCTGCTTTGAAGGGCTTGTCTCCATCACCACCGTCCTCGTGTAGAGAGGGATGAGAGCTTGGTTGGCTCTGGATTGGACGTTGAGGACAGCCGTCGCTATTCACTGGCGTCGAGCTGAACGGATCAGACAACGGTGCCACGCTGGAGCAATCGAGCCGGCGGCGTCGATTACGAGTCGAGCAGATCGGGTAATGGCGACTTGGGGGGGAGGGCTGTCCGGTGGAGAGATACATGATACCGTTCGTACTCCTCCACCGCACCTTTGTCATCGCTGCGTATACTGTTACACTTATAACGGCGGCCGTTCTCAGCTCGCACGCCTCGCCGAAGAACAGAGAAATGAGAGAGATATAGCAAGAGAGAAGGAAGAAGTGAGGAAGACAAAGAGGAAGAGAAATAAGGGGCAATTTGGTCACTCCGCGTAAATATTTGGGCCCCTATCACTTTGTTAGGACGAATACACTATTTTTATTATTTGATTGGTACGGACGCATGGTGTTCGCTAGCAACTAACCACGTTTAGAGAGTGTTTTGCTCCAAAAAGTGAATTTGTGTAGTGTTCTACTGCTAAAACCACGAAGTCGCGATGTTCTTGACAAAATTTGCCATTAATAATCACTGTCCATGGACAGGTGAGGGGATTCACGGTAATAGTATGTTACCACAGGATTTTTAAAAATTACATGCATACAGGTTGTAATTAATGTGATTATATATAAATTATAATAATACAGTTATGTTATGATTATAATTTTAGTAGAAAATTTGTCGATAAGTTAAAATGTAATCATCATATATAGCCAACATAGGCGGCACGTGAACGTGCTCGATCGCTCGCTCGATATATAGAGAGCAAGCTAGCTGAGAGCAGACGTATAGACTATAGTAGCAAAGTTAGGAATTGAACCTCTGTGAATGTTTAACTAGCCACTGCTAGCTTTGTTAGTCTTACATATACCGATCGATGATAGATCTGCGGTAAGACCATATATCGATCGAATGCCGGCCAGCCGTGTCTGTCGTCCCATATATGCATGACGCATGGACATATGCATGTGGATCCACTACAGCACGATCGATCTACTAGCTAACTATATCTTCGAGTGACTGGTCTCATCGTCCAGCCGGTCGGCTAGCTGCATGTTACTAAGATAGTTTTTCGTTGCAACATGCACCGAGTGGCCGACGGATCGCTGTATGTTACTAGTTAACTAATTAGATAGCTCTTCGCTGCAACACAGAATGACCTGCCGACCAATCAATACGCACTACTCCTAGCTAGAAGAGAGCATTAGATCGAGGACCAGTACTACTATAACTAACTATCGGTGGGGGGAATAATCCATATCCTGTTATATATAGATCATATATAGCTATTAGCTATAGCTAGCGCTAGCTCTTTTGGTAGTTTTACAATTTGTTGTGTTATGAAAAAAGTGGCCCCTGCATGCCTGCTTAATTGTAGCTAGCTAGTGTGTGTGTCTATATATATATATGTATATATATATATATATATGTGTATATATATATATATAGTAAATTTGTTTGGTGCTCCATGGTGCCCGGGCACCATTGTTGAAATTTAGTATATACCCAATTCAAATGAGTATGAAACTTTTTTAATTACTTAGGTATTAACATTAACTACTTTACTAACTAGTTCAAAGCAAGTTTGAACTGAATTTGAACTTGTTTTTGTTAGATTTTGATTCTAAGTATATAGCATCCATACATATAATTAGTTAGGTATGTAATCATGGATTGTGAAATAAAGTTAAATTTGAGTTGTTTTGTTGATAGGTATAGGTATGAATCAAATTATTATAACTAGGTATATACTCACAATTTGAAAAATTTGAGTGGTTTTGTGCATTTGATACCATGGTGCCCGGGCACCATGGTGCCCCATATGAGTGTCCTATATATATATATATATATATATATATATATATATATATATATATATATATATATATATATATATATTTCTCTATGATCACTGCTTCATTAATTTATGCACATATATATTAATGGAGTACCCAATATTAATTAACATGCCTATTTTTGTTCGGAACTACTAAGATGACTGTCGACAGTTTTCTTGAGTGAAAACTGTCAAATTTTTTAGCTGTCAATTCCGCTCTAAGATTTGTGCTAAGATATTTTGCTATCGGATCTAAACCCTTTTTTCATAAGCTAGTTCCATCATCGCATGTTTATGGTAGATTTGTTCAAGTTACATCTAAGTTACATTCCAGTTACATGCTAGTTACATTGTAGTTACACTATAATTACATTGTAATTACATTGTAACTATAGTGTAACTACACTATAACTACATTGTTATCTTTATATAAATTAGATATAAAGTTGCATATATTATTTTAATACATATATACAAGTTATTATTATTATAGTATAGTTCTAATGAAATTATATATTATAGTTAGATTTGAAAATTTTCCCCTTAAAAAACACTCGACAGTTTCTTAGCTAGTCCCTTTTTCTTATGGGAATGAAATAAATAAGTAATTCTTAACTTAAAACCGAAAAGTTATACTTATTGAAATGCATATGCATATATATATATATATATATATATATATATATATATATATATATATATATATATAGAGAGAGAGAGAGAGAGAGAGAGAGAGAGAGGAGAGAGACTACAGTGGTGAAATCAGGGAAAAAAACACATGAAATCTAACCCGGGACATAATTAATAGAAATAACGAAATCAAAAGAGTTTATAAGTACGTACTGAAATTGTACTAGCTAGCTCCTCAGTTGCACAAGAGAACACACAGTGAGAGCAACCATGCATGAATTAACTATTGGTGTTTCTTCAATAGAAAGAGAAAGAGAGGAAGCAAGACATGCAAATGCATGGGGACCCCGGCCGGCCGGCCGGCCTCAGTCGTAGTTGTTGGTTCCATTAGTAACATGCAGTGCACATAGCTTTCTCCAGCCCTTGTTGGGCATGCATATGCAGCATGAAGAGTTGGAGTGGTTGTATAAATAGGTAGGCAGTGGTGGACTGCGAGGCGCTGCAAGACAGACAGATACATCGATCGATCGATCAGAGCTTTTTCTATCATCATTAGCTAGCAAGATGAAGCAGTACTACAAAGCAGCGCTGCTTCGCTACTGGGTAGTAGTCCCGTTCCTCCTGTGGCTGGTAGCCACGGAGGAGCAACTCGCCGCCGGCGCCGTGGCCGGGGCAGCTGCCGAGTCGTCGTCGACTTGGGGCGGCCAGGGCCAGCTGCAGCTGCCTCTCTGGGTGCGACCCGGAGACCGGCGCCTCCTGGGGATGTCTGTGGCCGGCATGGCGGTGGATGCCGTCGTGGCGGCCGACGGCACCGGCCAGTACACTACCATCAAGCAAGCCGTGAAGGCAGCAGAGGCGGACACGAGCGGGCGCCGGTACACAATCCATGTGAAAGCTGGCAAGTACGTCGAAGACGTTGAGATATGGAGGCCTAATATTACCATGATAGGCGACGGGATCGGGCGTACCATAATCAGCGGCATGAAGAGCAAAAACAAGAATCGGGGGACGGCCTGTACGGGCACACTGAGTAAGTAAATCGTTTTCCAGTACATATATAAATATTTGACTAGATTTGTGCTTACTACGTACATGTGTATTAATTATGACGACTAATCACTAATTAATTGGTAGCTAGCTAGATGATCGATGCGTGTGTGTATATATATATATATATATATATAGCGGGACTAGCTATTTGTTTGTCAACAAATTTTCAACGGAATAAATCACACAGATTTTTATACCGCCCGATTAACATGATATAGTCTACATTAGAGCAATATAAGACACATAAAACTCTTTGACCAGATTAAAGAAACAAGTATCCTAGTTAGAAAATGCACTACAAATAAATTACTTTACAAAACTTTAGAATAAAAAGGTTACATACGTACGCTCACACACGTATATATTGCATTAGAACTTTATGTAAATTATAGTGTAATTAAGAACATTGTATTTATACTGTAATTAATATAGAGAGCGGGTTTCAAAATAAAAGAATAATTGAATTTTAAAATGCTATTAAGCTTGTGTATACTTACAATATCAAGTAGATATATTGTACAGTTAATATGCTGGATCGTTATATTACATAATTTATATTTGCTAATTTAAAACAAAAAACTAAAAGCTACAATGTAAGTTAATACAATAAAGTTATATAACTGTAACTACTTACAGTATAAAACTGCAATGTAATTTTTGTTTTGCCTACATAATTATATCAAAATAACGTGCTTGCTCAGTTGGTAGCTAGCTAGACACCCTGCTCTTTCATAGTGGACATGGATCATATATAGGATCAACTCTAGCTTCACCTCCGTACGTGCTTTGATTTCTTTAAGATGATCGATATATATAAGGGAGCACTAATTAAACTGTGTGATTTTAGCCTGCTAAAAGTTTAACGTCAAATTAACCGGCCAGTAGCAAAAAATTATATATATATGCGTGCGTGCGTGCGTACATGCATGGTGCAAATTGATATATACATACACATGCATGCATGGAACTTGTTGATATATAGTACAGTAATTGATATACGTACGTACAGACGTGCAAAAGGACGGGTTCATCGCGCGAGAGCTTACGGTGGAGAACACCGCGGGGCCGCAGGCAATGCAGGCGGCGGCGGTGGTGGTGAAGTCGGATCGCGCCGTCTTCTTCAGGTGCGAGATAACGGGTTACCAGGACACGCTGCTGGCAGATGTTTACAGGCAGTTCTACAGGGAATGTGTTATCTCCGGGACAATTGATTTCGTGTGGGGCGAGGCGACGGCCGTCTTCCAGATGTGCCACCTCCTGGTGCGTCGCCCGTTGGAGGGCTCCCACAACACCATCACCGCGCAAGGGCGCAACCACTCCGAGCCCGTCGTCGCACGCTCGGGTTTCGTATTTCAGGAGTGCAACGTGTCGACCAAGGAGGACCTGAGGGGCGTGGACACCTACCTGGGCCGCCCCTGGCACCCGGACTCCCGCGTCATCTTCATGTCGTCCTACTTGGACGGCAACGTGGTCAATCCCAAGGGATGGGTGGCGTGGCGCATCAACAACGCCACCGACGAGCGCTCCACCGCCAGCACCGTCTACTACGCGGAGTACAACAACACTGGGGCTGGGGCCAACGTCACCCAGCGTGTTAACTGGCATGGTTTCCACCTTCTTGCACCACACGAGGTACGCAATTTCACCGTTGACAGCTTCATCGACGGTGGCAGTTGGCTGCCAGAGACCAACGTCCCGTACCATCTCGATCTCGATCTCGGTCTGTAATAATACCTGCTACTCTCTTTATTTACTGTTTGCCTGCCTATATTTGCTTGGTATTGGTATTGTATCATCGATCTCGATGTGCTAGCTCCTGTGTGTGTAGTATGCCATGGTTTGTACGTAACTGGTACTGTATGATGCATGCGTGCTCCTGTGTGTGTGTGTATATGCGATATGATGGTTTGTAACTGGTACTGTATGATCTCGATGTGCTCCGATGTGGCTGTGTGTATTGCGATGGTTAATGGTTTGTAACTTAATTTTCTTTCTTTATGCACTGTCTGAACGAGGAATAAGCACTGTATATATGTTTGTATTGATCTGATGATTAGCTGCCATATGATTACTCAGTTATTATCCTGTTGATGTGAAAGATATTTACCCTGTCATTTAATTTTATTCGATATTTATTTAGTTCATAGTATCCTCATTAACTACAATTTTTTCGCATATGTCATCTTATTCAGCTTACAATATTGTTTTCTCATATATCTTGATTTGTTTTTACCACAATCTGTTACATTTAGAAGACATGTAAAAGAGGTGAAAATAGCTCGAGATAAAATGCTTGGAAAAGGTATAAGATGGTGCATTCGCTGTCTGATCTGCAGCTTGGATTATTACTGCCGGAAGACAAGTAGTCCCATGTTTACTTTGTAGTGGGTGATAAAAAATTGTACTTGACGGTGAACTGCTGGTTGTATGTGTATATTGGTTAAAACTTGCAGGACTTGGAAGTTTGCTTAAATTTTAATGGATGAATCAGTTTGTGTGTGGCTATACTTGCTAGTTCATTTTCATAATGTGTCGAGAAAGTATTGTTTAGTAATCCATATTGGCATGTGGATTGCATTGTGGCATTGTGGTTTTTTATTTTTTTTCTGCCTTGAGACCAATTTTCCTGACGGTCTAAATCATAAAACAAATCAATATACTAACCGAGAAAATGAAATAAAACTAGAGCAAATCATTTTAATCCCAGCAAGCAAATAGATGCACGACTAAATCATATATAAGCATTAATTTATCTACCAAAAAATTTATGGACAATTGATACCCTTGCAAAACTGACTATGAGTTCTAGAATAATTACAAATCAGTCCCTAATCTCAGAGCAACTTCAATTTTAGAGACCTCGAGGGACTTAAGTGCAGTGCCAAATATTCAAGATCTGACCACAATTCCATTTAAAAACAAATTAGTGGAAATCTTCAAAATTATTCCACCGAGTAAGCTCTGTTGAGCTGTAACCTCCATGAATGGAATAGCTGTAACAAACCCAAACTGTAGAAACTTGGAAATTCAATATAATGAAAAAAAATTATTTATATTATTGTGGTGAAAATTTGATTTAGTTGTTTTTAGATTTTCTATGCATCATTTCATTTTGCATATATAAATTAAATTAGAGAAAAAACAATAAGAATAATGATGATAAATAATAAACAACAAATTCAATTAGATATAACTCGGTTTTTGCATCTCAATTAAAAAGATGAAAGCACCCAAAATTAATTTAAATTGGAATAAAAGAAAGAAACTTGTTTGAATTTTCAAAAAACAAACTGTACATGAGAAAAATCTCAAAAATTCACCGAATGGAGTTCACCACAACAGTAACTTCCAATAAAATTGGCGCATGCTTTTGAGCAATGTAGCTATTCCGAAAAAAATTCGACAAACCCTCGGACCTCTCTAAAAATCCTTGGAAAGGAATGTTCCTGACCTCTCATCTCCCTATCTCTCTCTGATCAATGGGCCCAAGCACCCTGGACCCCACCTACCAGTGGCCCAGCACCCCATCTCTCTCTCCTATTTCTTCCCCTCTCTTTCCTTGCAGGCATTCCATCGAACACATAGGATGCGAGCCGAAGGTCGTCGCCTCCAAGCCGCCCATTCTTCCTCTGCCCGCGAATCTCGCTGCAAGGCTGTGCAAAGCTGACGCCGCCTCTGCCCGATGCCCTGCCGCGCCCAGCGCTTGCCTCGCAGCCGCCACGCCCAACCGACGCCGCCCCTCTGCCCGGAGCGACGAGACGCGACGAACCCGACCGTTGCTGCCTCCCTCTGCAGGGCCGCCGACCTGCGTCTGCCGTCTGCAAAGCCGATGCCCCTGCCTCCAAGTCTCCCGCCTGCAAAGCCGGCCTCGCCGCGCGCCTCGCTAACCCGGAGCCGCCGACCCCTGCCAAAGCCGACGCCCGAAGCGACAAGGCGAGACCGACCGCCCTGTCTCCCTCTGCCTACCCCCTTCACCTCCCTCTGCAAATCCTGTAAAGCCGATGCCGCGCTAGCCTTCCCTCTGCCCCGCTGACGTCGTGTTTCCCGCCGACACCGCCTGCGCGCGCGAGACGCCGAACGCATCACGACAGCCTCCGCATCCGCCCCTCGCTCCTCCCTCGCGCCAGCTAACTCTCCACACCACCCTCAACCTCCACTCCCAAAGCCGAAGCCCGAAACCCTCCGATTCGCCGGGAACGGCTGCGCCACCGTCGTGCCCCGCCGCCGAACCCACACCATCGAGCCGTCGCCTCAGTGAGCTGCCTTCCATTCCCCTGCGCCATCACGCTCCCAGGACCTCCCTAAGTCCATTTCCTCAATCTATTTTAGGACCCCTCGACCGGAGAGCCGCCGCCACCATTGTCGCCGCCGACCACCTCTGGAGCTCGTCGCCACGCCGCCTCTGACCGTCTCCACTCCAACCACGCACGGGTTAAGGATTCTCGTAGTCCCTAGGCCCTCCCCTAGCAAGGAATCGAATCGCTGTCGATCGTAGCACGCCGGCGGCCGACGTCCAGAACCGCCGCCAACGCCGGCCATGGCGCTCGCTGCCTTTAGACACCCCCGGCTGCGCCTCCGCCCCTAGGTGTAGCGCGAGGACCTCCTCTAGCCACCCCTTCCTCCGCCCTAGCCAGCCCCTCCGCCGCTCGCCGCCGGCAAGGCCGTCCCGAGCCGCCCCCATGCCGCTCCCCTCGTTCCTTCCTGTCGGGGAAGAAGACCGGACCCGTTCGTAAATAAGCAAAACTCTAGGGTTCCCGATACAAAGCGCCAATTCACTTACAAGTGGGACCTTGGACTTATACGTAAATACAAAAAGTATAGGGTTGGAGATATAAATCTACGAGACACTTACATGTGGACCCCACTGTTTTAAGTGGATGCGCACTATGAAAATACGTTTTCCATGTAGGAAAGCGTACTCTAGACAGTACGCTTCAGCCTTTTGTAAAGAGAAATTAATCAATCTAAGAAAATGGTTCCAGTTAATTATTTATGCACTATAAAATGCTGAAACTTTGGAAAATCATAGAGAATTCATTTTAACTCCGATTGAGGTGAACCAAACTTTGTTAGATTCATAATAATGCTCTCTTTAATACTGTACACTCAAAATTATCACCACTGTTGTGAAAATTTTCACTAATTTAAATTTGAATAGTAAGCGTGGTATTTACCGTACTTTAATGAAACACGATAACTTGCACATACAACATCGTATTTAAGCGATTCTTTCTCCTAAATTTATATTAAATCACCCTCTTTACACTAAACATGTTCATGCACCCATGCATCATATTTTATCTTGGAGTTTTATTGGATGTTCATTTGAATGTATGTTTAAATTTAGATAGAGGACGAATTGATTGTTGATGTTAGTGAGAGTGTGCAGGACCAAGAGTTATTTGAGCAACCAACTGAGCAAGGCAAGTCCTATTCAATTCCTCCTTCGATCATGTTGAGTCGTATATTTTCGCAAATGCTTTACTATTGTATAAATTGCATGCGATGTTTTATAAAAATGGGATATTGATAAAAAATGACCTAATTGCCGCATTATCTAACTTGATATATTGATTATCATTACTGTTGAAGCCCTAGGCTGAGTATATATGGGTGTTGTACAAGCACATTGTGGGTATATTCGAGCTACTACTGTAGCTACTTGCTTAGCTATGCTTAGAAAAAAATTACTGATGGTTATATATGACATGATAATCATTCTTTACAAATGGGATAATTTTACAGAGGAGTTGTCTTTGTTCTTTATGAAAATGGGAAACTGAAAATAATTCTTTTCGACTTGGGTGGCAAGTAGTGTGCATATGGTAGTAGTTGTGCACCGATAAGGGGAGTGTTTGCCTGGGTCAATTAAGGACTAAACTATATGTCACCAACTAAGATTACAGTGCAACTATGTGTGTTGGTTATGGGGTAACCTTAGCTTCTTATGTTGCTTATTGCTTAACCTTGCATTGGGATGCCGTTGTAGTAGGGACTAGTGTGAGCGTGGTTCATAGGAGCTACCCATGTGACCCTCTATGGGAACAGTTGCGTTCACCATATGGCATGGGCGTCTGAGCATATCCAATATAACGGATAGTGCCTCGTTGAGGGAGCGGATTTGTTCGCCTCATGGCGTTAGGATTAGGTTAGGGCCCACCTTTCCTAGTGGCATTGGTTCATGGCCAATGTGGAGAAACACTCTCCATGCTCATGCAAGGTTAATCTTTGAGCAATGTAGTGGCTTCGTCACAGGCTAGCAAAACGAGTACCGGTTTGGTATCGCGTGGCATGGTTTACATGATTGCTAGCCCGTGTCATGTGGGTAAAGTGCATAAACTCTGTAGAGTCTAAACTAATCGATTAGCCGTGTTCACGGTCATGAGCGACTTGGTGAAATGATACAAGCATAGTGTTGGTGATTTTTGTTAAATAAATTGTGAAATGGGTATGGTGAATAATGGTGATGATTTTTGCCCAGCGTGGGTTAAGAATAAAATTGTTACTTGTTGCCATGGAGGGCACAAGGATGGTACTCTGATAACATTAATGTTACTATTACTGTTGTTTATCCTTTGATTTACAAAGTTTCGTTGCAATCTACTACTCCCTCCGTTTCAAAATATAAGGCACAACCACCCTTAATTCAAAGACCAAGAAACAATTACTATCATCTTCTAGTTTAGATCACCCTAATAAATGTAATGCATGCATCCAATAGAATTAAAGATCTTAAGGGTAGAGGATTTAGAAAATAATAATTTAATGAATAAGAGGGTACTAATTAATTCTATGCATGCATGTGTGCCTTATATTATGGAACATCCAAAAAAAGTAGTTGTGTCTTATATTATGGAATGGAGGGAGTATTATTTACTATTGTGAAACAAAATTTGCTTTATGCTGAAAATGAGCCACAAATATAGCCACCCTTGATCTCAGCTTGAAATAGTCCTAGGTTTCCCAAGGTTTGGGTAGTACTTGGCAATACCTAATGTATTGACCCATCCCTTGTTGTTTTTAAACTTGGATGCAGGATGTGA